TTTCTCTGCTGCTGTTACTCCTCTGCCTCCCAGCACGGGTCCACCCTGGCTTTTTTTTCAACATTGGGACTTTTGGACTCGGTACTTACTAAAACCACGGACTCTATTATAAATATATATATAAATATATACATAAATTTACACAGTATGTGGATATACAGTATAAATATATTGAAATCCAAGCCACTGTTTCTATTCTACTGTTATTCTAAGGATTGAAAATGATACTGATGCTGAATCTGGTTGCTGACTTATGATATCTGTATTTCTGTACTTCAGTGTTACATAAAAGAAAAAAAAAAGTTCTAAAAGAGAAACTTACTAGTGATCGTGTGGAAATCTGAGGCTGCTGTTCTGCTCTTCTGATAAACAAACCTGCTTCTTGTTTTTGTTTTTTGGGTCAAACCAAGTTGTGGCTAAAATAAAAAGCTGAATCTACTACTTGTATTTAGACAACCATAGAGCTAAAGGGACTTTTATGATTTATGAATATGATAATTATTGATATGACTATTATTATCATGACTGTAAATTACATGTGAATATTTAGACGATGATGATATTCTTTCATTTCTCCAACAAATCAATTTATCTACAGTTTTTCTTTTTTTTTTCTTCTTATTTATTTGCTCTGATGAACTCAATAAAATTTAAATGGGACTTTTATTTTTCCTAAACCTACTTTAACTTTGGCCTGGAACTGTTTTGTCGATGCCGATATCATTATCGAAAGCAGCACACCATGAACAGACGTTTGATTAAACGTCTATCATTTTCTCTCGCGACTTCTATTACGTTAGCCTCAGCAGAAAATCGTTATTTGTATTCTTTCTCATTGCTCATATATATATATTCTGTATAAATGTGTGAAAAGTTACGTTAATTCTCACTAAATGTATGATTTTTTTTTTTAGTTAATAACGTTCAATCTAGGACGCCATCTTTACGTGATGTCATTTCGTGATTGGTCAGACCTGTGACCAATGTCCTGGCCGGGTGTGAGTGTGTTCAGTTAGGACATTAAAAAAGACGTTCGGTTAAGTTAAACTAAATTAACTGTTTAGTGGTAGTACAATCTTCATAAACCGATAAAACACTGGTAAAGGAAGAGGACGAAAACGCGACCAGAACTGCCACCAACGAAGGAGAAGGACTTCCGGGCCGCAAGGATACACCGACAGGCTACTGACATTAGCTCGAAGCTAAAGACGTGATTTCCAGAACATTCCGCGGCCCTAACTCCAAGGAAAGGAAGGAAACGATAATAGGAGATTCTGCAGCGACTCGTCTTCAATTATACTAACGGTAAGACGTGTTTTATTATTATTGTTTTTGTTGTATTTTCTAAAAAAGTGTGTGTAGAATCATAAACGTTCTAAATATTAACTTTGAACGGCATAACATTCAAAACTAAGGGCGCATTTATGCTTTTTAAAAAAGAAATATATACATTAATTTCAAACGTCACTGCCCACATATTGTTAAAGAATATATTCACTAGGGGGCAGTGCTGGGTTCAGCGTTCATTTCCAGGCCGACGTCAAACAGAGGCCGAGCATTAAGTAAAAAGTAATTATTTTAACCTGGTTCCACTATTTCTGTTGTCGTAGAAAGTAATTTAACCTGGTTCCACTATTTCTGTTGTTACGATATTGCTTTCTTCTTGTTCTTCCTTTTGTGTGAGCTGTACTGGACAATACCACCCCCATGTTTTTTTCTGAGGTACTGCGATTTTCGTACAATGAAGAACTGTGCATAGTAATGTCGAACATAAACTCCGCTTGAAGATGTAGGACAGTGGCTGAATGTTTATACTCATATTAGGACAGTGGCTGAATGTTTATGCTCATATTAGAGAATATCTGTTAAGTTTATATCTAGCTTAGTTAGGAAACTGTCTCCTGGTCCATACATGGTACAGATGGGCAGCCCATGTCTGGGCTGCATGTGTTGTGGTACAGTGACTACTGTAGAAAACCACATCCTTGTCAAAAACATTTTAAAGATGTCTGGGCAGCGATGACCAATCAGCACATTTTAGACTAGCGTCGATATGTTGCCTGAGTCTTGTTGAAGTTTGTGGGTTGCATCCCTGTGGTGTAGTAATGTAGTGGCCCACATCAGCATGGTGTCTGTGTGTGAAGGTGGAAAGGACGGCTCGGCTCCGTCTGCAGCTTCTCCCTCTGTAATATTGCCATTTTAGTTCCTGTAGAACATGTTTCTTTGCTTCTTCGTTTTCCTCCTGATCTTTCTTTACACAGTCTCTCTCTCCCCTCTCTCCTCCCTCTCTCTCCCTCCTCTACACTCTGTTGGTTTTTTAGGGTTTTGTGGTTTGTTCCTCTCCAGACTGTAATGAGCTCCAGGGGGAAAATTAGTGCTGGAATAACAAGCCAACGTCAACATCATCTCTCCTCTTCCTCCCTCCTCCTCTCCCTGATCCTCCCGTCCTCCCTGGTCTCTTCTTCTTCTTCTTCTTCTTCTTTTTCATCTTTTTTTTTTCACATTTCTTTTTTTCTACCACTGGATTTTTCACTCTCCACCTTCCCTCCCAGCTCCTGGTCACTTGTTTCCCTCTCCTCCTCTCACCCTTCAGCTTCAGCCCAGAAACTGAAGACACATTTCTCTGTTACTTTCAGTCATGAATTATATGCAGTTAACATTTTCCTCTATTTTAATGAGAGAGCTTTGAATATCTTTGTTTAGCCTTTAGAGCAGTGTGGAAGCTGGTCACCTGGTCACCTGGTTGATGATTATATGTACTCCTTAAGAAGCAGAACTTCATTATTTCCAACACTTGAATGTTGTATCCGCGTGTTTTCTGTGTCATAAATATCATATGTGGAGTTTGTTTAGCGAAGTCAAGTTAAAGGTGAGAGGAAACACCTTGAATAATTCACCCCTGTTTCAGTGTTTCTACCTGAAACCTCAGACATATTTTAGTGGATTCATCTTTTTAAAAATTTGGAGCAGTTGCTGCATAAAATATTACCTGATATTGCTCTGTAACCTGATTACTCCGTGTATGAGGAGGAAAATGGTCTGTGTGTGTGTGTATATGTGTGTGTGTGTGTGTGCACTGCACTAACAGCAGTAGGTCTGTCCAGAGGCCTTGTCCTCTTGCAGTAATTTGATTGTGGCAGAGTCAGGGAGGCGTAATTGTCTGCAGCAGGTCACAGCAGAGCAAACAAAGTGTGTGAGTGTGTGTGTTTGTGTGTGTGTGTGTTTCTCCTCACCCTTTATACATCCTCATCTCTACCCTCTCTCTCCTCTTTACTTTCCTTCTCCAGTTTCCTTCTCTCCTATTGTCAGCCATATGGAAATTAAAACACACATATCCATATACTGTTTACGCTATTGTACCGCTGACCTTTGACCCACTCCTGCCCCATGGGCACGAAGGCAGACAGACCTTCAAACAGAGAAGAGCAACAGAGACTGACATTTAGACCAGAGAAAAACCAACACATCAGCATTACTTTCAGTTTCCCGTTGACGGATAACCTTTGACCTTTGCCTGAGTGACCCTTTCTCGAGGTCACTGCCATCGTGTCAGAAGAAGACACATGAGTGATAGTGTTGACTTGTGGCTATAACAACCTTTTTCCTGTAGAACAGTTGTTAAACTACAGCTCAAATGACAAACACAATCTGGGAGTTGTTATTTTGGTTGGTTAATCAGGTTGGACCAGCTCAATAATTCATGCTAATCCTGGGGGCTGCCCGGCGGTGCAGTGGTTGGTGCTGTCGCTGCCTGACCAAAAGAAGGTCTGTGTGCTGGCTACAGGATGGACTTCCTGTTTGTGGCTTCCATCGTCTTTCCGCGTGTGTTGAAATGTTTTCGCTGTACCTCGGTTGGAATTTCGACTAGAGATGTTCGATATTATCTTTTTACCGATATCTGATATGCCGATATTGTCCAAACATGTTTTATTTCCGATTCCAATATCAACCAATATAGGCCTGGTAATATATATTTATTTATCTGTACAAACCACTGTATGCGTTCCTGGCACCAGCATTCTACATACAATCCCCTGATTAATAAAATGAGCTGCAATGCTGCCATCTAGTGACTTTCACTTTCATACACAGCGGTTTTTTTCCCCAAAACTATTTTTAGGTCATTTGGTGAACCCCAGGCATTGCATTATCGGGTTTTCATTATCGGAGGAAATACCGATAACGATTCTCACAGATATTACACAATCATGTTATTATCAGCCGATAACACCGACCAGGCGATATTATCGTACATCCCTACTGTGGACCAATCACGGCTGGATCTGCGTTAGTGTTTCCAAACCCAGACATAAATAGACACGTTTGTTCTGTTGAACTGCAGGTGATAAAATGTTAAGTGTTTTGTAAACACTTAAAATGAAATATGGACCACGGTCGTTGGATAATAATACCTTTTATTGGAGCATTCTTTTTCAGGCAGTGTTAAGTGAGTAAAGTGTGGGAGCTCATTTGGTCCAGTTTACAGGTGGGAACTGAGTGAGACAACAGGAAACACAGAGCATAAATATGGAATAACAGGAATAAATATCTCATTTGCTATTTTTACGACTAACTAACGTTGTAGAGTGAGGTTTTTTTCAGAAGGTAATGTTTTCTTCAATTGCTGGCCATTTCTGGTCTAAATGAAAAGGTTTCTATTTTTAACTCGCTACTAAGTCCAGAGAGCTAAAGATGGATAAATGTTAGTTCACAGTTTGCACTAAAATAATAAAAATAATATAATAATCAGATATATTTGGTTTCATTTCTTTGGCTTATTATTGGATCATTCTAATTGTTGTCCAGCAACATCCAACATCACATATTTAATCACTTCAATTCTGCAATTCTTTCTTAGTCTCCTCCACTGTCTAAGCCCAGCTGTCTGTTGCAGTCTGGCCCTGGTTCACATTGTCGATGTAGAATTAATCAAACATCAAATCGACACGTAGAGACGTCACCATCTGGTTCTAAAACCGCTCCTTTATCTTTCCAAAAATGAAGAAAGGGAAGAGAGTGAGCAGCGTAGGTACAGCCTCACGGTCGGGGCGACGGCTGTGAAAAGGGAGAGAGGAAGAAGATGAAGAGGTGAGACATTTATTAGACAGGAGGAGCGGAGTGAGAGGAGGAGACGCCATATGGCATCACTTCAGGAGACGAAGGCTGATGATGAAGGATGGAGGAAGAGGTGATTTCTTCAAGAGCAGTGGGTGAGAAGCAGCAGCAGCATCAAGATGCTTGTTTCACATTCAGGAGGAATCAGAGAAAAGAGGAAGTGTTGACACAGTTAGTCAGTTTAATCCTGGAGCTGACACTGAGGAGGAGACGCACCGGTTCTGTTCGACCCACTTCATCTTCCTCTTATTTTAGTCTCCTACGTCCTTCTTTATCTGCTCTCTTTTGGCTGCTCCACACGTCTTCTCCTTCACTTCAGTGCCCACAGTTTTTACACTCTCCACATTTAAAAAAACAAAACAAAAAACATCCAACCCAGGTAGGAAACATCATCTCTTTGTACTTTCATAGGTTTCAAAGGATTAATATATACAAACACAGCTGTGAAGCTACACTTCACACTTCACACTGTTTAGGCTGTGAAGCTACAGCGAGCTACACTTCACACTTCACACTGTTTACAAACATAAACCTCTCGCTTCACCTGCAGGTGGTGATAAAAACGCAGTGATAATGCATGGATTCCCGAGTTTGTTTTTCTCTATGGATAAACTACTGTTTACTACAACCCGTGTAGTAGTACGTACTCGATAGTTGTCACGCAGTTGCGAACGTTTAAAGCTAACACTAGATCGAGTGGTGGTTATGGGTAGAGCTACAGGACGCTGCACATTTGATTTGACACATGACACATTTAAATTAGGGATGTCAGATATTAACTTTTTGCCGATATCCGATAGGTCCGATATTGTCCAAACACTTAATTTCTGATTCCGATATCAACCAATATAGCAGGGCAGTGGTGCCCTGGTGGTTAAGGAAGGTTAGTGCTGCATGTGTTTCTGAATTGCATTGAAATACTATTGATCGCCTGGTAATATATATTTCTTTATCTGTTCAAACCACTGTATGAGATTCTACATACAATCACCTGATTATTAAAATAGATTAATACAATGAGCTGCAATGCTGCCATCTAGTGGCTTTCACTTTCATATACAGACATTTTTCCCCAAAACTATTTTTAGGGCAGCTCCATCTTCAACACTATGCACCGTCTCTAATCTGGACCACTGTCCTTCCTTCAGCCCCCCCCCTCCCCCAGTAGACATCCCAGCATCACTCACGTC